AATAAAGCATATACTGTTTTATATTTGCTTACTAAATAGATGATTGAATAAATATAAGTAAAACAATTAATTTTTTTCTATTGTAATATAATAAATATATATATAAAATAGAATAAGAATTTTTAACATAATTACGTTTTATTAGTTAAAAAACAAATTAATTGTGTGAGAAAATTATTTCAAGTAAAGAAAGTTAATGCTTTCTGGAAAGTACAATCAGCAATCTTTTTACTCGTCACAATTTTATTTATAATACATAAAATAACATTTTAAAACTTTCATGACAGGATATCGGTCACGATATGCAACTAGTATATCCAGTTTCGCGGATACGATAATCCAGTTTATCTTTGCGTGCAGCAATTACATAACTGTATTTCTAATGGACGATCGACCCCAAACGTTATACATTTCACATGTGTGTGTATATATGTATATGTTTTTTTCGTGTAGCGTGTGCATTTTAGCTACGAAAAAAAACTTGTAGAAGCTACGAAATACATGACTGTCGCTTCCGCTGGTTATTTACTTTAGTTTTGTCCTATGTGTCTTTATTACTCCATGCTATTTTATATAATATTTAAAAAATTGTAATTTTAATAGACTAATTCTAATAAAATTACTTGTATATGAAAAACTATAATGTCATATAAAAATGTTTACAACAAAGCAATGAGAATCTACTAAATATTATATTCCCTATATACTCATTGAAAAAAAACTATATAAGTCGTCTCTAAAATCGCCGCAATCATTTTTCATAGCACTGCATAATACGCGTAAAATGTATTTCCTTCTCGACTCAGCGATTTTACGTTGGTTTAGTTTCTGATTGTTACTGAATGAAATCACGCGATAAGGATTAATAGAATTCGTTGGTGGGAAATTAAACAACTGACAAGGTTTTATGATTCAATCACTTTCGATTCATATGATATTTTCTTTTTTCTTATATTAAAAATAGTGGCAACTCATGTTTCGCGATTAGCATACATATAGCATATATATTTTTTTATTTTACGATTGCAATGCTCGTTAGAAATGTAACCGATCGACCGTGAAAGGTAGATACGCGATAGGAAGTTATTATGTATATGGATTTTTTTAATTTGACTTTATAAAATTTCAAATTTTCTTTTGATCAAAACTTTTTAATTACATTTATTAATAGTGTAATCCCAAAGTCTTGCTAACAATATTATAATATACACATATAAATAAAATAAATTAAGTTTTAATGAAAACTTAGATTAATAATTAAAAAATAGATAAATACCAGATAAATTAAAAACTAACAATTATTTATTACATATAATATAATGTCTATAAAGGAATACGAATAGGTATAATTCTTTTCATCATATCTGAAATCCTTTTTTTTTCTCCTTTTTTTGAGCATACTTTCACTCCTCACTTTCGCCTACAATAGAGATTGGAATACTTTGACCCCCTCAAGGAATTAAGCCCTTTAACCCTTTCGATATCCCCTTACTAAATACAGTAATTCTCGTCTCATCAGGTGCCACTATTACTTGATCACATCATGCAATATTATCTAATAATTTCAAAGAAAGAAAAACAAGCCTCTTATTAACAATCTTACTAGGAATTTTTTTTACGTTACTCCAACTAATTGAATATAACGATGCCCCCTTTACAATAGCCGATTCAATCCCCTATACGAAAGAATGATCTCTCTAATAAACAAATAATAGTATAAGTTTAATCTATCTCATTTTAATTTTATTTATTTATACTAACATTTTTTAAATTTGAATACATTAATTTTATTAATAATGTTAATTTAATTCTTTACACATAAATTTTCTTATTTATTTATATTAGTTATATATATTATGTATATTATAATTCTAATATTCTGTACGTGTATTAATAGTACATTTTATTTCAGATTAATATAATAATGATGCACCATCGTAAATAGCATTACAGTGAAAAATGTGGCTTGCTGAACCACATGACGCGTAACAATCGTTGCAGTCATTTTCGTAGCAATTAATTACATTTGTGTGCGTGAGCGTCTGCGTGCGGGTCTGTGCCTGTGCGTTTAACAGATGTTATAAAAATATAAGCAAACAGATGTTAAAATAATGATGATGAAAATAATGATAAGGGAAATAGAGCAATTAAAAATTTACTATATCTTATTTTGCCTTGTGATTTTATAACTGTTCCTTATTGCTTCTTATTGCAAGTAAAAATAGAGTAGAATTTGCAACGACACTTTAATATAAAATTTGATAAATCTAATAAAAAATCGGATCTTTACAAGTAGAATTTTATCGCGGGATCTTTAAAGAGATCACTTTCACATTTCAATCGATTGTAATTATCACCTAAGTTGGTGTTAAGTCGACAAGATGGTAGCGATTCGACAGAGCGTACATTCTTTTCATTTCTCCGGATCAGTATTGTTTCCTCCGATCGAGATCGAGATCATTTCCGATCCCACAACGTCAATTCTCGAGAAAGCGTGGGAGTTTTTTTCCATTTCCCAGACGTTCTAAATCAGCGAGATAGCCTTATCCGTCCTCTTTACCTCAAATATTTGAAATGCATTTCGCTTTTATGCTATCGCTTCTTCCTCTTTTGACAGAACGGCCTATTGAAGGAATTTCAAAGCTATAAGGAGCAACAACAAATTTTTCACAATAATAGAGGATGGAACGAATAAATCTACGAGCGTCATTTTACCAGGCTATTACATTCATCCAATATATCATTTTTACATTAATAGTTTTCAAATATATAATTTTCGAAAGAAAACAGTATAGATTGTACGTTTGTTACGTATTCACTATTACCTTTTATATTTTTTAAATAAAATTGTCACCTTAAATGAATATATGGTAACACTATGTTGTCAGAAAACACCAGCTATCTTTTTATAAAATAAAAATTTGTATATAAATATTATTTTATAGGCTTATAGCGTACATTTTTAACTTTACAACATTAGCTAATTGTTAATAATTAATTAATTAATTAGTTGGTCAATCATGGTACGGATTTACAAACAGCGACAGTCAACAGATCGATGAACAAATAAACAAATGGACATATTAAAGATTGACAAATGTTAATGAAGTTGACAAATTTTAATCATAATTTAAATTTAAATTAATTTATAATTTAATTATACGTTGCATTACAAATATGTGGAATTAATGTCTGCGTTTAATTTTTGAAATGCAAGTGGCATTCCGAGAATTAGCCGCAAGGTGACACGAGATGACGAGAAACGCTAACGTAACATAGGATGAATGGACACATGCTGATGACGCATTTCCCTTCGTAATTCACCATGATCTAATGCGCTTCATGGTTTCACACGCGTAATACAATAATGAATTTCACATAAAATGGGAGAAAACATGTAATTACTTTTATTCCTTCAAAAAAAGTCTGAAATTGGTTCCACATTAAAAATATCGATGCAAATAGAAATTAATATTACGATTTTCTATAATACACCTCGCACATTTAATTCGAAGCGGACTTTAACTCAACAAAATTTTAATTTACGCTTCAAGAAAAAGGAATATACAAAATGTTCTATCTTTTGTATTAATTTTAATTTTATTAATATAGTTTTTATGATTTTTTTGTCAGCGAAACGACGACTTTCCATAACTTCCGTAATATTTTTATTTTAGGATTCTAAAGAAAATCTGCTTCAGATTATTTTGTTAGTGTAATTGTATTAACTATATTTCAATCTGAAGAGTTTTACTCGAAAAAAAAAACAGAAGTAGATGATGCCTATTAATTAGAAGGATCTTATAGCATTTGTTTAGTTAGTTTCGCATTTATTTTTAAGTTTTAAATATGCAACTTTGTGCACTGTCTTTGATAATCACGCGTTAACACGGAAATAGGGCGCCATCGCAACTGCAATCATCGCGCTTCCGCCATTGCTGTATAATCACGTTCATGATGCACTGAAGCGACCTTCACGTCTCGCAAAATATATAACAGCGTTTAATGAGAGATGCCTTTGAACTTTATAAAGAAATTCTCAAATTTAGATTTCAATACTAAGAATAAAATCGAGGGAACTTGGCAGGTCTATATAAAAAGAAACAGGGCATCTGTTAAACCAAGAGTGCAGGCAAGAATTTGGTAAACTATTTTGGTCCACTTTTACCGATAGCGATGTCTCCAAAAGTATAACGAAGTGAGAATCATTCCAGGTAGAACAATGATGTGAGATCGACTCGACCCAACAACAACCTTTATATGCGTACTCTACCACGCGATTATAACGAAACGTAATTCCACCGTTCCACGAAGGTGCCATGGAACATCGCGCACCTGTACCAACAACATTTCCGTTGTATATGTGTGTACACGTAAACAGATACACACACGCACGCCGAGATTACGTATGTTCGTTCCGACTGTCATCGGTATAATTACGTTTGCAAACGGCAAACGCACTCGTGCATACGCCGCCGACTCGCATCCCGCAATGCCTAAAGCCGCACTCACATCGAAGAAGAGAAGATTATAATGAAATTATAAAAAAAGTATCCTTTGGAAAGATCATACAAATAGACAAAGAGTTGATAGACGAGATTATCTACTTTCGTTACCGTGTGGAAATAGATTTTGTTAACGACGCAGGATATTCTAAAAGATGTGAGAGAACTTAAAATTTATTAGAAGTTTAAAAAGATAAAAAGTTTGAATTAATTAAGTAATTTAGCCATTAGAGATTCGTGATTTAAATGTTTAGTAGAACCGATTGTTGCGGCAACTAAACATTCTATGTAACTAAATCGATAGTTAAAAACGAAGAACATATTTAAGAAACGTGAAGGTGAAGATATAATGTACCTAATATATGTTTCTTATACGCACTCCACAAAGTGTAATAGCTAAACCTTCTTTTTTTACAAATGTTAATTAGTATTTTCGATATAACATTTGCGAAGACATTCGATAAAAATATTTATTCAGTTTCATCAATTACTCACCTTAACGCCACCTTTCTCAGTTCTCCGATCGTCGGATTGTATTCCCGGTCCTCTCCGCTAATTCTTGCCACTCCTTCGTCAACGTTCACCGCATACCCGTTCACCACCAAGTCCACCAAATCCGTGAAATCGTCGTGCTTTCTCATTGTCGACGACACCGGCGTTACATCGTTTTTCCTTGATTTTTCAACGGTAGGCGTTACCTCGCTATTAGCCTGTTCGCGACTGCTGTTACCTCGTTGAAGAAATCTCCGACGGAAATTATTGTACACGGTATCGGCGTCCGGAGGATCGCCGATGCGGACTCGCGCATGGCTGGGATTCAAATGGTGGCCGCTGTAGCCAAGGTCCATTTGCAAATCCATTACCAGCAACAACGTGAACACGATGGCGAGCGCGCTCAGACATAACACTAATTTGTCACGAATGCGGATAAGTCTGATGTTCAGCCGCATTTTGTGATTTTTATGGGGTTTCTTGTTACTAATTGGTTTATATCTCCTCTCGCTTTCCAATAATTTTCGTTCAATCAATGGCAACTGCGAATAATCCAATTGGCGGTCTATAAGAACGGAAGAATCTGTTTGATGTTTCTGATGAAATTGATCTGATGAAAATTTCTGAATCAATCGTTGGTTATTTAAAGCTTCAAGATTACCGACTATCTTCGATGTAGACGAATTGTTGGTATATTTCTTCGTGGATGGGTTTTTATTATTTTTTTCGGGATCTTTTATCTTTGCCTTTTTCCTCGAATCTATGTTGTGAAGTGAATTCTTCAAGACGGTTCCTTTTTTGGGGTCTTTCTTAGAATATACTATTAATGGTAATTGTTGGTCTACAAGATTATGAAATTCTTGACTTCTACGATCAAAGGGATTTTGTGAATCTCTTTGAATTAATCGTTGATGATGTGGAGCTTCAAAATTATTAATTATCTTCAAAGTAAGCAAGTTATTAATATCTACTTCGGTAACTTGATTCGTCGAGGTTCCTCCAGATTCTTTTATCTCAATGATTGGTTTCTTCAACGTATCTTCGGACTCCTGCACTTTGATGATACGACATTTCAGGCTCTCATCAAACTCTTTTACTTCAGTTACCGGATTCTTCGGCTTCTTCTGATAATCTTTATCAAAATTCGGACATGACGCACTTCCGTCGGATCCTGCGACAGAGTCAGTTAATGAAACTTTTCCGGAGTTATCTATTAGCTGCTCAGAACAAGGTGAAATCTGGAAGATCTTAATATGCTCTTCGGGTGGTTTCGCGATCGACTGACGTTCCGCATAGCGATTTGAAACCATAAGTTTACATGTCACGACCGACTCGTATTTATCGGCTGACCCGCTGCTATCGGATCTCGTTGACTCTTGACCCGACCAGTTCTCCTCCGGCGGTGGCGATCGCTTCACTTTGCCGACACTACCACTTCCTTTTCGCACTTTCTTCTCAGACCTCTGAACAGCTTGTTGAGTGTCCTTCAAGAGACAGCGTCTGTGAATAACAGATGATTGATCGGAGAGATTAATTGAATCGCTCTTAACTTGTTTAAGTTTTAAAGAAGATATGAATGCTGCTCGATCATCAACAGTTAAACACGGGTTATTTTTTATTGAAGGATTGTCCCAGATGTTCTCTCTCGTTGGTTGCGATAGTTCTTCTTCCTTGTTAGTTGAAGAAATATTTTCTTCTCTTGGGGAGCAAAGCTTTTTCGTTAAAGATAAACTATTCTGGACAATGTTTTCATTTAATTGCGATAATATATTTTCATCGGGAATGTCTTTCTCCTTTTCGGAAGCAATGTCTTGCTTAGCTGAAAAACTGACTTTCCTAGCGGGAGAATAAGGATCTTTCGTTAACGAAAAATTTTCTCGGCTGTCCCTATCTATTAATTGTGGAACTACAGGAATGTCTTTCTCTTTTTCAGCTAAAGAAATAAGATTCTCCGTTAATAAAGAATCATCATGGATGATTCTTTCTGCTAATCGTAACTGTGGATCATTCGGAATGTTTGTTCGCTGCGACAATAAGGAACTTTTGATTGTTAGTTGCGAAGGTTTCTCAAAATCTTTCTCTAATGTACATACGTTTTCTTCAAAGACACTTTTCGACAATTCTAAGTTCTTTCGAAAGTCTTTTATCGTCAATTGCATTAGTGGATCAATCGAGGTATTCTTTTCTGTTAATAATAAATTGTCATCCGCATTTTTATTTATTAAACGTGGATTCTTTCCAGCATTACTTCTTGTCAGCGACGAGTCTCTCTTTGGAACGTACTTCTTTAAGAATAATTCAGTTTCTCCAATACTATTCGTTATCAATTGAGAGATCTCATTAGCTTTATTCTTCCTCGATGACGCTGAATCTTTTTCAATGCCTTTTTGCGTCAATTGTTTTTCAAGATCTTCCTTTGTCAACAAATATTCTTCCGCATTCTTCTTTGGCAACAGAAGACTTTTATTTACGTTTGTATTGGTCCCCTCTTTCTTCAATGAAGAACTGCTGTGATTATCCGTCTTCACCAATGTCTTCACTAACGTTGCACTCTCCTGATCATGTGTTCCGGCTAATAAGTCTTCCCTTTTGGCCAACACCTCCCCTTTTGGAGAATTCTTTTTTATCAATAATGGGCTGTCCTCAATATCTCTCCTCGGCAATCGTGGACTTTGCCATACGTCATTCACTACCTCTGGACTCTGACGCTTTCTATTAGCTTTCCTTTGAGTATTCTTTTCGTGAAACAATGGAGCCTCCTTAATATTTTCTTTTAAATCTCTTCTTATATCTTCCCCCTCTAATATTAAATTCTGCTGATTGTTTGTATTGTCCAATAATGGTTTCTCTAGAATATTTTTCCTCGATATCAAAGACTCTTCCTGAACATCCTTCTTCAAACTTGGATTCCGCTGGGTATTTTTCTTTAATAACGATTGACCTTCTTTAATAGTCCTCAACAATCTGTCGCATCTCTCGCCTACATTTTCCTTTAACACTCTCTTCAAGAAACTCTCCGCTCTTCGAAATCTTCCACCATGACTTACTGTTAACTGATCGTCAGTCACGTTCGGCAGCTCAAAGAATTCGTCTGTTACTCTCTTTCTAAAGTTCTTTGGCTTTTCGTCGTCATTGCACTCATTTTCGGACCTGCCACTAGATTCTCCGTATTTCAATTTCGATCTAAATCTTCCGTGCGACTCTTCACAGTTGTCTGCGCTATCTGTGTATATCGGGCGGTCGGCAGTTGCTGTCTCGTTGCTGCAACTTGCACTTTCGTAACATCTCCCGTCGGCCAGAGCTCTAGATGATCCCTCGGGATGATCCGACGTTGCGACGCGCCCCGGCGTTTTGCACGCACCGATTTTTTAAGCAGACCACACGAGGCACTTTTACTGTGCTCCAAGCACTCACAAATATATGCCGAACAAATATATCACATTCACGTAAATAATTAAACGGGCGATTAAGGAATTAACTGAATTTCGTGAAAAGTGCGTGACACCGCGACACTCTGCGTTCTCACCGTCGCGTCGCCTGAAACAAAGAAAAAATATATATATTAATACTATATCGAAAATTATATAAAAATTAATACGTAGTGTTCAACAAAATATTTCAAAAGTGTTTATTTCTTACAAATCAATCTTTACTGCTCAACACGACGTTGAAATGAGAAATGCTCTGTCATGTGTGTGTTGTGTTTTGAGAAATTTAAGATAAAAATTGTAAGCTTTTAATTAAATAAAATTTTTTAACATATTAGATGTAGCTGTCTTATGATGGTAAGTACATTAAAATAGATTTCTTTTACAACATTGTTCGCAAATTTTTTTAAACTATAACCAAATAGAACATTTTAAATGAGTAAAAGTTTCTCTTTAATTATGCAAAATAGAGAAAAATGTTTTAAGTAAATGTCGTCACATTTAACTAGATGGTTCAAAACAGTAAAAAATTTACGTATTACTCCACTCAAAATCGCCTTTTAAACCGTATGTTTTCGTTCCTTTTCAGGGAAGTTCAAGAAACAATATCCTATCATTTAAATAGACTTCAATAAACCATACGCAGAATTTCTTCGCTATCTTCAACAGTCTTACAATGAGATAAAACATCTTGTAACATTCTATGTGAGATGTCTTATATGTATAAGCCTTCTAATCGAAAGGAAAAAGATAATATGCGTGAATTTAACTAAAACTTTTTTTCTATTACGATAACGCATGCCGATGCATTGCGTTACGTAGCATTGCGATGCGTCGTCGTGGTGTATTATGTGATGCGTAGCATGTAATTCAAGCCGATAATGAGACTGGGCAGCGTTATTTTTACGACACGACGCGTAGCGGCATCCGCCGCTTTTATATCATTCTATCGTTACTGTCGTATACGTTGCACACGTGCCATTTTGATATTTATATTGCGCTATAGCGCACATACAAAATTGGATATACAAATAGCATGGCGTGACGTAACTATGCCGCAATCACTTGTTTTTTCCTGTTTATTTCAAATGCTCCAACAGGTACAATCACGGTACAATCATATACCCTCTGAAATAATCGTATATCATGCGAATCATGCACTGGTTACATCTAAGACGCGGTTAAATTTGCAAAGAAAAAAAGGAATAATAATTGTATTAATAGTTGTGTCATAATTTTTGACATTTTAATTTTACAATTACTTTATAACACACACGTGGGATATTTTTTATAGATATTGGGTACATGTCATATTGTGTAGATAAATGTTATTATTATAGATATATTAATAAAATGAATAATATAATAATTCCGAGATTTAAACATTTTATTTGATACATATTATTTGATAATATGTATATACATTTCATTTGATAATACGTAACATTGGATCACGCGCTATTGCATTTGTCAGCGGAATTCCAATTCTCCTAATTGCTAATTAATTAGCGAACGCTAATGAGAGGCAAAAGGACCGGAAAACCTCAAATACCACTGAGAGGTCATGTGTTATTTCGAAAACGCGATCACGTCTTCCATATACAGGCGAACGGGCGAATGGTTTTACGAATCCCGCGCGCACTTTTCTTCCACGCGGAGGAACATCAATGGTCGTATATAAGTATATATGGTATCTTTATTATATCGGAATCGCGGGACACGCAGAATTTCAATGGCACCTTCTATTCCGATGCAACAACCGGCCCGGCTTTTACATCGACTTTTACAGCGAGACCTCGGCTTGCATTACACGATGTAAGTACCTGTTCAGATCGCAGATTCCGGCGAAATGGTCGTCCAAAGATTGCCAATCGTACCGATAAATATTACCGATTTAAAGATGACTAGCTATTTTCTAGAAGCGAACGATCCCATCATTTTCGACATCGTAACCTCACGACGCCTTTTTATTGAGAATCACCGCGCATTTTTTTTTACAAGTAGCATTTTATAAATAAGAATTGTTACGTTAAATGCTTTTAACATATTTGTGATACTTTTAACGTATTTATGATCGTTTTTATTTCACGCTTGTCTAATCGCGTTCAGCTCAAGCAATTCTTTTGCATTACTTTAATAAGAAACTTTGTGATCGTCAGTTAATTACATATTTTGTTTTTTACGGCAAAGCAATTTTGCAAATCCTAATCTCTAAGTGCATATACGTATTATAGCGTTAACGCACTGTAATTGATATCGATGTCTCCTCGAGGAGACTAAAAGAGCAGCGATAAAGAGGATTCGCGCACAAAAATACCACATTATGGCTTTTTATCGTCCGCGAGGGGGTTTTGTGTTGTCGGGTCAAGGTGCGCTCTTTAAGAGAAGGGTGAAAGCGGGTGGATATCAACTGTGAAATAGAGTGACGGTAATGGGGCTGCGCGTTGCGAGAGTGGCCATTACAGTTATCGCGAAGTCGCGTCATAAAGGCGACGGTGCAAGCTATTATATATACGTATACATGCATTTTGCACGCGCGCGCGCGCGCGTATTGCATGTACAACATATACATATGATATATAAATAAGGGAAAAAGAGCATTGTATCGAAGCAGCTGCATAATTCAATATCTCTAAAGTCGCTGTGCTTCGAGACGAAATCTCGAGGTCGCGCATACATTTCTGATTACCAGTTTTTCGCCTCCTTACTTCATAAAGCTTTAAATAACGGTACCATTTATCACGTAGTTATCATGCAGTCCTTTCAATCCTTCAGTTAAGCTTGGAACTAATTATGAGCAAGATATTGGTTTATCACTAGACATATTTTTACGTAAGACAATTTTAAACCGGAGGCTTTAAGATCGTTTTAATCTCGAAATCTCACGTTTAAAAGGAAGTCTTTTAAGTTCCGATTTTTGCGTTTGGCTCTGTTTAGTTAGGCGATTTATATCATTTCAACTCTACATAGGTGTCTCGTACGTTGTATATTGAGTTTTGCATTAAAATACTTTTTCTTCAAAGGACAAAACTCGACAAAACAGTGGAAATCTATTCGTTTTCTAGTTTCAATAATTATATGTATGTATTTTTACATGGGGTTTTATACGAAAGTTCTCTTAGAAGAATATCGCGCGACTAAAATACTTTAAAATTATGTTCTCGACTTGTCTTTTAAGAAGAATAAAATATAAGAATTCATAATCAAGTTATAAAAATACAAGAAAAAAGTTAACCTTATATAAAATAAACAATTTAATACCAAAAATATTTTAGTAGTGATTCACTCGATACGTTTTCCTATAGAAAATTTCACTATTCCAAACATGAAACTCCGAAGAGGCTGTAAATGAGTGGCATTAAACGTTTAATTTAAGGTTCTAATTTAAATTTAATTTTATTCTCATTTTATTTATAATAGACCGGTGTTTTCCAATATAACGATATTCCGGTGATGCGCGAATCGCTGACGACCTATTTCTGCACTTTGTCCTAGCTTACATCATTGAATCGCAATATTTTTGCATTTTATCATACGTTTATTTTCCGCATGATAAGGTTTCGAAAGCGCAATAATCAGCGCGAATCTGGCCGGAAATGCAGACATTTTTATTTCCCATGTTGTTCATAAAATCTCAATAGAGATATGAGTTATAATTTATGTTATTTATGATTTATACTCACACACCTCGTTTTGCACTTTAATTGCAAAGTGATGTATCATATCTTTCATAATGCAGAGTTTAACATTTTTTAATTTGTGATGTAATATTGAATGAAATTTTTTTTAATTTTTATTATACTGCGTGTTTAAAAAAATTATCTTGCGGCAACAAATGAGAGAAATCAGTCCAGTTCCCAGCATGAACACGTTTAGATATGACATACATAAAACTATCTTATGTTTTATATAATATTGTATGAAGTATAAAAAAATTGTATAAGAATAAAAAGAGACTATGATGTTAAATATATACCAGATATAATCTATTTATCTTCGTCGCCGGAAATATCTTCGCTCCTTTTAAGAATAGAACAGAAGATCCGAGGACGGGATTATTTAGTTCAAGAGGGTACATGTTATACATCCACCTAAAGATCTTTTTTCTTTTAATTTCAAGATTGACTGTTTTTCCCAGTACATGACTTTTCTTTTATACAATATTGTAGCCAGCATCATAATAAATTTTGTGTGATCTAAGTTGACATAATCTTCGATTGAGATATTCCTCAATGACTGACCGATAAAAAATTTCTTTCTTTCAAACAAATATTACAATTAATGTGGATTTGTGTATCCAAGACTCCATACAAAAGTATCTTTAATTTAGATATCTTGTTTGTTACAACGTGACTCGTACCATTAGCATAAACAGAAATATTTACAAAATTAATATGAAACATATATAGTATATTTAAAAATGCATATAATGCATGATATATTTAATTGCGAATGTTATGCGTTGAAAGAGAGAGAGGGGGGAGGGGGAGAGAGAGAGGGGCAGAATAAAAAGAAACAGAGGCACTAAAAGAAGTGGTTTTTAAGAGGAATTCGATTATATGCCAACTTCGCAAAATTCCTCTCTCTCTCTCTCTCTCTCTCTCTCTCTCTCTCTCTCTCTCCTCCCCCTTTCCCTCGTGTTTATTGAATCTCACACGGAATTTGTTTCGTAAGCAAAAAGCAGAAACCTCTGAGTGCAATTTTCAGCGGACATAACGAGCTTGCCAGCGGCACGCGCCATTTTACGTTATAAAAAAGATTGTCGCTATTTAAGAAAAAGAAACGTCGACGTTACGTGACAAAAAGAAACGAGAGATGTCTGCTATAATAATACTACTTATCAATAATATTTATCACTACTTGATTGTTTTTATTATGAACATTCAATAGTGTCATAATGTACAATTTCTGAAAACTTGAATTTAAGACAAACTTGTTTCGACGAATTGTGTTTTTCCATTAATTAAATAATTTATATAGTGCTACAAAATTGTAAAATATGTACAATATTGTGCAAGATATTAATCCAGATAACAGCTTCGTAATACTATAAAGATTGTAATACACATTAAATAAAAATAATTTCAATTAAAAACCGATTAGTTTGTAAGGAAGAGCTTTGTTAATCGTTAGTCATACGTAAAAATTTCTTATCGTGTAGATACTTATCACAATGGTCACCGAGTTAGAATAAAGCAGGTAAGTAAAGAGGGGAAGTGAAGAGGAAAGGATTAAAACGGCGGAATTTATATCTGTTCTCGTACAAAACAACTACACCGTAACCATGCGAGAGCGAAAGCGTTATCTTCCACAGAGCGAAAATTGCAATAAACCTGCAATTTAGAGCCAGTACAGAAGTCTTGTTAACACCATTTGACGTCGAACAAAAGATCCTTATTCAAGGATTACGATATGCATATATAAGGTCATATATATTCTATATTCGTTAAAATATTCTATATTAAGTATTATATATATTTAATGAATATTCTAATATTCGTTAAATATATACTTTCCAAAACTGTGTAATGATAAAATTTAATATAAATCATATAATTTAATATAATTTATATATAAGCTTAGAATATATTAATTTTGAAATTTTTAAAAAGACAGAAACACACACACACACAGAGAGAGAAAGAGAGAGAGAGAGAGAGAGAGAGAGAGGGAGAGAGAGAGAGAGAGAGAGAGAGAGGGAGAGAGAGGGAGAGAGAAATTTAAGTTGGCTAATTGATGTAGCAGAAAGAAACACATTATTTAAATGTCAGATTATATATATCTAAGTAAAAAATGTTAAATCTAATGTGAAAGCACTTCCATCGATCAGTTTCTACTAAACCAGACAAATTAATCGTACCGATAGTTAAAATTGGGTTAGTGAAAGTGCAAATCTTTATTTTTTGGAAACACGTTTTGCTAATCACGCAAATTTTTTTAAAGTTTAGAGCGAGAGAAACGAGGCAATTCGAGAGAAGGGATGAAGGAAGTAGAAATGCGTTTGCACGTTCTTGCTTGCTGTCGCCTGCTTTTGCTTCGGTTTCCAGCCAGTTATCACTTTCTTCCGTGAAACCTGTCGGCTGAATCTTTTCGCAAGACAAGTCGCAGCGAAACGACATTCAATATTTACGCTCGCTGAATTTTCTATAATAAGAGACCGACGGGGCCCCAAGACCCCGAGATTCCCGTGAAAACGTTAAATATATTCGTTTTTAACTACCTCGCATCTGAAGAGTAAGACAAGCTTTGAAACAGAAAAATAAAATTAATTTTAATATTATTATTATTTGATTATCATTGTAAATATATTCCATTTAACTTGTGCACGTCTTATTTACATATGTGTATTTGTAAATGTGTCTAAATGTAGCCTGTTTCTTTTGACTCTTTGTAATCTTTATAATCCTGTCGTACTAAAACTACATTTGTCATTTAATTAATTAAAAATTGTAATAGCAATACATACAAAAACATTAATCATATAATTATTTCCATTTCCTAAAAATCTCGATCTTACAATAAAATGATTAATTTGTTTATTAATCATCAATATTTTTGGTCTCAAAAATAAATATTAAAAAATTAATTTTTGTATATTTAAAAATATTCTTTTTTTATTAAATTCCAACGGTATGAAATAAATCAAATTGCTGGCTATATATATATTGGTTGATTTTCACATTATATAAAATTTCTACGCGACGATGCTGTTGACTTTTTTTTTATCTATTGTATATTATATAATTCCATCCATTTATTAATTTTTGTACAATAGTAAACTATTCCAAATATTAATTCAGGATATTAAAAAAATTCCTTGAACATAGTATTATTTATTATAGTCAAAGTAATCGAAACGCCGCGATTCTTGCAGAAATACGAAACGAAATCGGCGATGCAAAGCATTGTTGCGCGCCGGTGAAATCGTCTTCGCGAACGCATGTCCTCGAGATGCACAACGGCGAGGACTAGATGCAGCCGGCGTGCGCGCATACGGCTGGCTGGATAATGCGTTCTTATGCGCGAGCACGTGTGTGCATCGCGCGGATTATGCAAGAGGCCAGGCCTCGTGCCGGGTCGCTGAGCGTTCAAGATGCATGTTAAGACGCGCGCGTTAGTCAGTTACGACGCAAGCGATTACAATTGGTATAATCAGAAATCTTAGACGACACACGAAAATAATTTTTCGACTCAACAGAATATAAAATAGATGTATATAATAAAGTAATTAATATAACCATTGTTTGAGAAATAATGAATGTATATTTATAGAATGTGGACAGTACTCAATTAAATAACGTTCGAAATAAATATTAGGAGTTTTTAGTTCATAAATTAATGATGTTATACAGATCGCTAATTTTTATAACCTAAACATTCGGTTGTATAATTTTAAAAGAAAATGTTTCAAGTAAAAGTTGCTTTCTAGAATTCAATGTTGTTATGTTTTTAAGTACCGTTTGATTTTTCACAGTTAAGTCCTCTTCCGGTCAGCAGAGTTTTAAAAAGTCACTTGTGGCACAGTTAAAAAAATTCTCTTTATAACAAAAAATATGCGACATCGACCTTTATGCGATCTCGGTACAAGAAAAAAATAAAATATCATGCAACATTACTTGAACTTTGTATTTTTAATATAGTATAATATATTGACCTCGGATCAGAAAGTGCATTTTCCAATTTTTGCTTTTTGTGGTAAAAAAGAAGGAAAAAGAAAACTTGACAAAGGATATCTCGCAATACTTGCTTCATGTATGCCGGGGCAAAGGATAGAAAGGGATTCGGATTTATCTTTGGTATCTCGTCGAAGAAGGAAAGGAGAGGGGACGGCAAATGTGGAAACGTATCATATTAATCCTATCAGAGTGCCTGTGGCGGTTTCATTGAAATGTCGTTGACTAGCAAAACAGCATCTGGCTTAAATTCTAAATACTTTGACATCGTTTGACAAAATCAAGCATCCCCTTTTCTCTCTCCTTCTTTCTGATAATGCTTTTGAACTCGCGAGGAAAATGAAGAAGAAATGTGGCACATGGAGAATATTGCAATACTTGGGATGTCATAAAGATTGTAAAATCAATTATTAATTTTCTTATTAAATAATAAATTAAGATTTGGTAGTTTATTGTTATGTAAAAGATAATTTTACAATTAAATTTTACCATCGCATAAGTATTAGTTCCCTTGCTGCATAACAAATTAATTTCCATTTGTCATTTCATTTTCACGAAAAAATATATCTGATTATTATTAACTTCAGTTTAACATATAGAAAACTATGTTTTTAAATCTTAAAAGACTTACACACATTAAACATTTTCTTCTTAATTACAAAGACGCGAGAAAAAGGTTCTCGCCCTAAGCAGAAGACTCTTTCTTAGAAGAGCTTCTCAACAACGTGTCACTACTGATGAGACACACATTATATCTCCTTTCCTTAAAGAAGAAAAGACCGCGAATTTAATGTTTGTCTTTTTTCAAAACCAAGAAATGATTTCGACAATCTTGACATAAAATTATTTCTTGAATAAAAGCGAAAGCAATTTTTATAATCTGTGCAGAGCGAAAAAAATAATATATCAACTAAATTCGCAATACGAAATAATAACACAATTGCAATGGCAATAGAGCAAAAAATTATTAAATAATGTAATATAATTAAAATGATATATTAGTCAGTAATTAAAATTTATTTTAAACGAATTGTAATTTAAAACGAAATAAATTCTGTATTTCTATAATTTTAATACCGCCGTTTAATGTAGAAAACATTTTCAGGAACGAATTAATTTGTAAAATAAAAACGTGTTTCACTTTATAGCTTTCGTCAATGTCGATTAACATCAACATTAAATTAATTTGTTACTTTATCCCTTTCTTTCTTTCAAAGGATCAATTAAATCAAACTCAATTAAATCAACATTAAAAGCGATCATTATTGAAATCGTGGAGCAATAATTGAATAGGAACAAGGTAGATGTGAACGTTACTTACAATTAGACAAGTATCGAAACAAATATTGTACATTTAGAAGACGTTGCTAAAAATTTCACGTGACAAATTCGTATTCTTCTTCGATATTTTAATGTACAAAAGTGAATTCCATAGAATAGAAAAGAAAATTTCTGCTAAGTAAAACTTGAGAAGGTACTAAGCTATAAAAGTATGACATATTAAACTGATAATATGCATCCATACTAGACTAGAGTGTATCTTTGATTGCGCCGTTACTCGCGAATCATAATATAAATTATAATAAATAAGCGAACAATATATATACAGAACAAAGTTTAGTAAACAACTCACCGACTTCTCTCGACGATCTGTTTTCCATGACTAGTTCAACCGCGTCGTCGTTACATGCTGTTAATTCGGAGTTAATTCACACCGATTAATTGCACGTGTACTAATCATCTGCAAAACAAGACCACGCTTGTGAATAAATACGCAACAACACACAGTAAACTATCATTCGTTTCATTTAGCACAAACTATATAAACGTACAAATGGGTAGAAGCTATTTTAAGCACAAATATATCCTTTTATAATTATTTTGCATCAATTCATTCATATCTTTACCTAGCTTAAGTATCTTATCAAAGAAAAATTCATTGCTGTGTCATTACCATAAATACTGATAACATTATCAATGGCCTTGCGGAATAAAACAGTCGCATGATAAACAAAGCGCCCAGGATGACAAGAACGAGGATGTCTCAAGTTAATTATTTCAAACGAGCGCAACATGATGCGCATAATGATAATATAAAGATAATATTCATAGAGATAATTTTTGTGGGTGCACACGGTAATGGTATCGATTAATCATCGTCGATCTGAATCACTAGGTGGACTGTGCATCCATCATGCAAGAGTGTTTAATTCCGACCGCCATGTTGCGACAATATCCATCAACGTGTCGTCGGCTGGTTAGGTTGGCACTGATAAGAGAGCTCGACAAAATGCGATAAAAGATATTTTATACTATTTTACGGTAATTGCTTAGTTTGCATGTCTTGAGAAAAATAAAAAAAATATTTTGTTCACATTAAGTAAATTGCAAAATAAATTGCTAAAAAATACAAGCATTTATCTTATTTTATCTTATGTATATATTTTTTCCTATTTTATTTTGTTTCTTATTATTTACTACTTATTTAATTATTTTGTATCATATTAATTATTATAACTAACATTCATACAGTTACCTTATATATTTATATTTAAAGTGATTTTGGAATTTTAATTGTCTTAAAAATTTTTAATATCTTTTTAATTAAATTTTACAATTAGAAAAAACTTTACCCATAAAACGAGAGCTTTTATAAGTCTAAAATATCTCATATATCGACTTGTTTCATTTTGTTGTTGCAAGCTGCTAAATATTTCAGATTTATTGTTAACAAATTCTTTCGTGTAGCAAACTCCAACAACACTGTCTTAACCTCGATCCATTCTCAGTATTTCATTTCAACAGCAGTTGCCTAATACTGAACATGCGTAATCGCTTTGCATTAGCAAGGGCTACAAATGTTGCAATTATACGGTTGACCAATATTGGACACCAACCATTGTTGGTTAACATTGTTGGACAAAAAATTAGTAACGAAACAACCCCTATCAAAAAATTCTCTTTGAGAGAGGAAAGGGCTTTCTACTTTCTAATTCTTAATTTTTATTTTATTTTTAAATAAAATTTTTTAATGATACCTATTGTAATTCATTATTCATTAAATATACATTAATTTATTCACATCTGAAAGTTTCTGTTTGGTCTATCAAAATCTTTAATATTCAGAATCTATTTATTAAACACGAATTATATACAGGAAAAAAAACATATAATTTATAATTAATTTAACCTCAGATTACACATATATGGTCTGTGAAATCTAACGAAAATTTTAAGTCGCTAGTATTCTTGGAAATTTTTCCTTGTTCAAACGTTTATATTTCACAATTTAGCAAACTTAAAGTATGATTTCGCAATCATATTCTACCGTGTTCATTCTTCTGAAAAGAAATTCTTTGAAAAATATCAATTTTTACCAGTTATGATTAAAAATATTTCATTGGATCCGAAAAATTTACACTAAAAAAATAAAATTACATAAACATCAAGTATAAAAATTATCTCGTTCCCTTTATGCTAAAACCATGAATGTACAAATTCTCTCTCTAAAAAAAAGTGAAAATTTCTTTAAAAAAAAGAAACTAAAGTAGTTTCAAGATTATACCATTGTATTCCGAAGCACTATAATCAATCAAATCAATAACTGTAAAATAATGCAAAACGAATTTCACACCATATTCGTTTTACATTTTACTTTTACTTCTTATAGAATCATCTCACGAATTTACAAGACGTGACACGGCGATAGAAATCGGCGCGTGTTTAATCGCGCGTTTTACGGTCGGTGCATTTTACAGGGGGATACGTAATTAAACACACCGATGCAATTAACCGAGATGAACGCGGTAAATGTATTATAAAAGAAACGTCCCGTTGTTTGCATAAGAAGCTCGAGTAAATTCTAGTTCTCGCATTCGTATCAACTTTCCCATACTAATATACATGTATATAAATACTTGCCGTTGTGTGCATTAATTTTTAAAATAAAAAGCATGTTTGTTTGTTCTTATATTTATATATGTTATATATAATAATGATAAAAGATAATATATTTTAAATATTTAATATATAATATTTAATAAATATTTTTTACGTTATTATATAATTTTATACGTTATTGAATTAAAATATTACGTCTTTTTAAAATAGCAAAACTTTCATTCAATTTTCCAATGATCTGGCCTTCTTCCTCTCAATGTAAATTGGCTGTTTTACACAACAAAAAATTCATGGAAACCTGAATGCATTTCTCGCGTCACGCTCTCGTTCGCTCGTCGAAGAGATTCGACGGTCGATCTTTTTATCTATTAACTATTATTACCGTAGCATGATGCTGGTTTTATTAGATCGAATCATCTGTCTCGTTGAATTTTAGTGAGGTTCGTCACACTTTCATAATTTCGCTTACGTTGACATTTTAAATACTCTGATATTTCTAAAACAATGCATTTTACAATATCTGTTGCATGAGCATTTTTTAACACTGTCTTTATTCTATTTACACATTTTTGCAGAATATTTCTTAATTAAAAAATAGAGATTTCAATCATATTGTGTAAAAATTGTTGTAAATTAATTTTTACATAAATTTTTCATTTAAATAATCTTTGTAAACACAATCGAAGATAGTCAAATCATTAAGAAAAAGTAGGTTCGCTATCTTGTATCTTCAAATGTGACAACATTGAATTATACATAAATGAAATTGTTAACCTAAAACCTCGTAAAACATGGTCTCCATATTTATTTGTTGTTTGTTAAATATACCACGAGCGATAACCACTTATTTAACAATCATGGTACTATTAGAACATTTTAAGATTATCAGATAATTAACAAAAAAAGTATAGCGCGCTATTTGAGGTAATTAGTGGTTGCTATGAAATTGTCGCGCATTGTTTTACACGAAATATTATGGGTTTGGCGCGAATTCACGTAATTATAAAACGGACGTACGATGCGTTTATACCTGCTGCGTTTGATAAACAAACGACGAGCTATGTGTATTTGATGCAAGAGTAACGCGGGCGCTAGTCAGCCAATTATCATGCAAATATTAATAATACAAACATTAATGTCGAATTAAATGGCGTTTGCTCTCTCCAATGCATTTCGTAAAAAGCAAACAAAGTTTATCGACCAATTACTATTTTAAACACTTTTATTTATTTATCGAAGTTCTTAGATACTAACGTTACTTGCTTGTATTTCAGTTATTTTGGAACTATATGAATGTATTTATATCGAAATATATGTACAATATATATAACATAATTTATTTTAATAACTTTAAATTCCTTAAAGTCTTTTATATAGTTCCAATAAGTAGAAAATTAGAAGCACAGTTTTAGCAAATGTATCTTTTATTTTAATTTTTTCAAACACACATATTTTTTAACCTTTGTTGATTTCTACGATATTCTTGTCTTTCTTTCCATTAAATCATTCAAATGCAAGAAAACATAATTTGATATAAGTATTTAGAAAAATTGGTTCCTCGAAAGAGTGGAAATCATGAGCGTTCGACTGGATTGACTTTCATCAACTTTCTGAGGGATCGATCAGAAGGATTAGAATCATGGAAGATGGACGAAATTGAAATTCGACTCGCTACCTCGAATATTTACATGATTTGAAGAAGAGAACAAATCTATTTAAGGAAACTTATAGTTCTAAGATTAAAATAAATACATGCATAACCATATTGTTAGAATAAAGTTAATATATAATCTTAGAATATATATATAATATAAAATTTATATTATTATACATATATGTATGTCATGTAAAATCAAAGTAAAAAAAATAAAATTTTTTAAATGTAAATTTTTTAAATATGTCAAACGATGAAAAACTGCGCAGAAAAATAAAATTTTTTCCTTGGAATCTACGACTATTCTAATGTCACACTTTCTTAAGTCACCAGGTTTTCTTAGTTATTTAAAAAGAACAACTAGTGCCCTTGGATACATCATAGCAAAAGCGATAAGCAATGATAACGACGCTGAAAAGCAAGAGATACGTTGCTAGAAACCGGGAAACTAAATAAAGCGATGATAACACGACTAAGAAATGAAGAATTGTTAGTGTGCTGCAGTACGATTTAGACAAAGGCGTTATAAAGATTTTTATCAGAACTCATTTGCAATAAAGGAAGGAAAAATGAACAATTAAATTTTATAAGTTTTAGCTTTTTGAGGTAATACTTAAAAGTAGAAATCATAATACAATACATCTACATAAAATATTTAAATAGGATATCTTATACATATGAATAAACTTTTTGATGATATTCAAATATTCAGATAGAATTGTTATCGCATTTGTAGATATTATAGAAATGAAAATAAAAATTAAAAAATTAATAATTTACTTGTCATTATTTATCGTTACTTTGTTGATTGTTTATGGACTTTTCTAAGATTTTAGTTGACAATTATGTCTAACACGTGTTCATAAAAATACGCATGTACTATATGTGCATAACGTATTATCCCGGCTTTTGTCTGGTTCATCTCATAGTCAAGATAATTAATTCAATTTGAAGTTGCTAAAGTTGCTGGTTTGCAGGCTCTCTTAATAAATTTTTAATTTTCGTAATTTTTCCAGCAATAACAATTTTCTTACATTGAACGTACCGTCCATAAAAAAGACAAATAAGAGGGAAAAAAGGAACGATCAATAATCTACATATTTTTAAATATGTATATAATATGCTAAAAATTTGTTCTTTAAAACTAAAGAGTAGTAAAAATTAATTTTCTTAGAATAAATATAACT